TACGTGTGTAAAACGCTATTAAGTATAAATGAATTTTAAAAAAAATTAATAAGAACACGAAAATTGGTTCAATATTAAAATTCAGTGAATTTGAACCACATGCTTAAGAATATCAGTATTATGGTGTAAGAGTGGATTCTTTTAACAATGTAGTGCAATGCATCCTTATAATAATTTAAGGAATTGATGTTTTTTATTTTAAAAAAAAATTCGTAATGACAATATTTTTTTTTCTCTTTTTTTAAAGTTTTATAGCTGTTACAAACATGATACAATATAGTAGATACGATCATGGAAAATCTACTAATTAAAATTTCAATTTCAACTACATTACAAAGCAAATAAAATAATTGAACATATTAAAAAGATTTATCATTCATTTTCTAGGAAGGCGTAAGTTTTAACGCAAAGGGTTTTAAAAACACTAAATACTTGGACATAAATAACAGAAATGAATACCCAAATCCATGGAATTCTCAACATCAAATTAACGCTTCATAACGTAACGTAAGGTAAAAGTTACGCACTAATTAAGTTGCAATAAGGGTGTAGGGTGTGTTCTTTTCTATTGGTCTCTTTACAAAACGCGGGACATTTTACTCACCGTAGCGTTTGTTGGGCGAATAAAAGCGGCTCATTAACTACCAAGACTTCTCAAAATATTTTCACTCACTCTTAAAACGACGTATGAAAATCTTTTAACTGCAATTTTGTTCGAGGCCGATATCCGATTTAAATGCATCCCTTCTCCCCTTACACAACCAAAACCATCCCAATAAACGGCATTAAAGCTTTTCTTTCGAGAAACCCTCCCCCCTCCTGCCGATTAAAGCACTGTCGAAATAGGTGCTCGCAAAGGGGGGAGACAGGAAAAACGGGAACACGGTTAATAGAGAAAGGAGAAAACACTAAACACACAACTGGATTCCAGTCTTTTCCCGAAATCCCCAAGCTTGGCTTGGAGCCATTTACAAGAAAACAGATGATTGAATTTTATTTCTTCGAAATCCCATTCCTCCCTTGTGTTTCTGACTTCTCTCCCTCGAAAAACGAGGGAGCGAGATTGGAGGGGGGAAAGACAGAAGTGAAGTGTGGGGGGAGGGAGAGAAGATTTTAATGCGGCATTAGACCTAATGATTAAGATAGCCGTGAATGCGGGCGCACGGACGGTTTTCGGCGGCTTTAACTGCGTCTCATTACGCAGAAATTACCGCTATAAATATTAGAAGAATAACATTAAAATATCGTAACGAGAAATAAGAGTTTTCCCACTCTTAACCGTACCGGATCCTCATCTGCATACGATTCTTTCCCTCATATCAACGATATATATGCTTTTCCGTATACATTTATATATATATTTGTGCAATTCCGAATTTCAACCCCCACCCCTCATTTTAGTTCTTATACAAAAGCTTCAAGTGGTTCCCCGTCCCCCCCAGCTCTATTCTAATTCTTCGCACCAATCACTTCTTGCAGTAAGAAAGTAATGGTCTGTGCCCCTCTCTTCCGTTTTGATATTGATTAGAAGACTTGTATATGAGCGTGGCATATTTATGACAATTATTTTAATGCAATGAAAGGCTACCTATCCTCCACCCCCCCACCAATAAAGCGAAAGAGGGGGGAGGAAAATGAGGGGTATTCCGGCGTGAAAAATGCTAATACTAAGTTAGGTGTTAAGTTTTAATGCCTCGTTTCTCAGTTCTGTAAGCTTGTCTGTTTTAATGGCTGCTTCCAAAATACTCAGGGCCCTCGATGTTGTAATTTTATTGTCTCACAACAATGCGCAGCCCCCAGATGAAAGTTGAAAAGTCTCGCCCAATTGAAGTGCCTCTTAAAGTCGATTTTAACACATTCCATGAAAATAACTGAAAAAGGAGGGGGGTGAGATAAAACTGTTTATATCCAGGAATGGACTGCTTAAAAAAAAAACTCTGATTGGAAGGGGTGTTATTTTTTATATATATATTTATTTCATTGCGGGCGTTGCATTCACAGGTGCGCTTTTTACTAGTTTTACTTAAATGCGATACTTTGATTTTTTTTATTTCATGTATTATTAAAGTGGATACGGTGGCTGCCGAGTATTAAAATGAATAGAATTGTTAGATCATTAACGAGAATAGCTTTTTTCTCTAGAAATTATGAAAACGATCTCGATTCTTTTTAAGAGACGGTAATAAATTCATTTATCGAGTCCACCTTTTCAACGTCATCATTAACTGAAATATATAGCATCGTTATGAGGGAGATAAAGCATCACTTTGTCGAGAAAGAGAAAATGGAGCTTTATTTTTTAATGTCTTCTTAATATTTTCTAATGCATCTTTTAAAACAAATTCCGAGTTCGTTAAAATTGTTCAAAATCAGTGCATAAGATTATAAATTAGTGTTTATACAAGAAAAAAATACAGTATGATGTCTCGAGGATACCAGCCCATGAGTGTGTTATTGTTGTTTCTAATGACACTCGGACTAGCCAAGCTCACCAGCCATTTGCCTTTTGTAAATTAAGTCAGGAAGGTGTGCCTTTAATGTGTCAAGAGAGCACCGCAAAGGTGAAAATGCGTCTTAGCTCAAAACTACCACTCATTCAAGAGGCCACTTCCTCAAATTAGACATGGATCTAAATATTAAAGAAATTTTCTCCACATCCCTGTACCCATAATACTGCTCAGTAACCAACCACGGGACTTTTAATTCCACATATTTTACGAGCAAGTACATCCCATGTATTCCATGGGTCTTAGCGGGATCAAGAATCGAACCTTGGCCCCTCCGGATTGGAGTGCGAATCTTTCACCAACGGCTCCTAAGACTGTAGTATGTCCAGCTGTTATTTGTTCTTCAAGCTACATGGGTAACCTACCGTAATCAAACTTATAATTAATCCTTATTTTTTAATTAAATTTTTAAATAATATTTAATTTCCTTCAAATAAACCAGTAAAATGTAAAAATCGTTCAAGAAATCATAAAAATCGTTTAACTGAGGATCAATTTTGCATTGCATTCTTCAGGGAGCTTTTTATTCTGCTATTTTTCTTCCAACGGACTATTTATTTTACGGTGCTTTATTTTCCGCTGACCGACCTGTGTAGGGGGCAGGGAACTGTCCTTGTATCAGAAAGGTTCTAGGTTCAAGTCCCGGGCAAGGCATGGATGTTTTTTCCTTCTCTGTACTATCTGTCCTCACAGTGAAAGCGACGTTGGCCCACCTAATATGGTGCCCCTGAAAGAGAGGCCAGCAAAATCGCCCTGTATATGCCTGAATTGACGGATGTTAACACAGGTGGGCATTGAAAAAAAAATTCCCGTTTATCAACCAGAATATTTCCGAACAGTGCAAAAATTTCAACGCAATTAGGAACAATTTTAGTTATTGTCGATGAGACAACCACTTTCATGCAAGAATTTTCTCCCACCATTGTGTAAGCCACTAAACTATATTTCACGGTTCATCATCTTTTGTCAACAACTCAAACAAAAGTGCGAACTAAACGCCTCACTGGTTTTAAAAGAGTGCAACGAGAAAGAATAAAAAAAACAAAATGGCATTAAAAAAAAAGGCCATAGGGTTGAAATAAAATAACGAAAAGAAATTTCAAAATCCGAAAACCATACACTACAATAAGAATAAAAAGGATAGGACTATTTTAGCATTATTATTTCTTTTAAAGGTGCCTTCTGACCCACAAGGCCGATCTCTTATAAAAGTACTATTAAGCGAAGGATTCAATACACATGTAGCCGTAATTACATGCCTAGTTAGGTTTTTATTCGCCAATAATGGCCCGGACGCAAATAGGTTTGGCGAATAGTGAATGCGCTTTTGCTTTTCTTATTCCATCTCTTCGTCTATATTTATATTCGACAACAGGATTTCAATGAAGAGGATATGTGTCGTGGGTGTATGGGTCGGGACAGAAACAATAGCAAATACTTTCTGCTATGGAATGCTTTCTCATTCTTTATTATTTATCGAAAATATACGAAATTTGGTAATTGTTTTCTTTTTCTAATAGGTTTGGAAAGTGTGGGTCTTAAGCTGTTTTATCATAGAATTTGTTTTTTCGATAAATAATAATAATCCTATATTTTTAGGGAAGTATTTGTTTATTTGCTTTAAATTATTGTTTTTGTTTAGAATAATATGTTTGAACAATATTCCCACTGGAAAATAATATGAAGCGATGCTTCATTTATTTTCGCTCATTTTCATGCGTTTTTAAAACATTTTTGTTTTTCGATTAAGCATTATATTTTTAATGTTTTTATATGTTACTTTATGGTGCGCATTTGCTATCTTAAATTTTTCATGCGCTACGTCAAGAATTTAATGAGTTGCTTTATGGTTTTTAGGGTGAGATTGCATGGTACCTGAAATATTCTTCTGTATTATTTCATGCCTTGATGATTGTTTTTTTTGTTTTTTTTTTGTTTTTTTTCCGAAGCAAAACAAAACATGATTTGCTGAGGCTTATATAAGAGACGTAACTATATTATGGCACAAATCTTTACTATAATATTTGTTATGATCAAAATATTATAAAATAATTCGGGAAAAAAATGAGCATTCAAATTATAAAATCAAATAAATTTCAAAACAATATTTAAAAAATAAAATTTTCCTTTTAAAATATTTTTAATTTAATGCAAAACGTTTCGATAAATAAGAATGTAAAAACTCAACAGACATTAGTTAATCCTTAACGAACGAATTCTACGTTTATAGTTGCAAAAATCATTTTCTTATGTTTATTACTCTTATTGTCTAATATTAAAACATAATTAATTAATACTATAATTATTTAATATTATAATGAATTAATATTATAATGAATTAATGTTATAACTGATTTCAGAATTATAATTGATTAATAAATCTCACTAAAATATCAGTATTTGATATAAAAATAAACTTTATCTTCATATGAAAAATAGCTTTCATAACCTACCGATACCTTATATATTTTGCTAATGAAATTTTTAGCTTACCTTGGTTTTGCACCACTTTGAATTCTCTACTGTAATCGTTGAGCGTTTCTCTTAAGTGTCTGTTCTCGATTTCTAAATCTTGGATTCGCATCGTGCGTTGCAAAAGCACTTGGTAATGTTCGAGGGCGGGAACAGGATCTGAAATTTAAAATTCTAACTTAGAACCTAATTTCACAAAAAATTTAATTTGAAAATTTTGTTGGAAATTTTATAATAATAAAAAATTTGTATTAACATTTTTTTTATTTAAACAAAATTTCATCAAGCGTCAAAATTTTATATAAAAAAAAGGTTGCGATTTGGCAAATAGCAGCAATGGCTCTGGAGATAAAGCGTTCGCCTCCCAATTAGGTAACTAGTATGACCCAGGTTCGAATACCAGCGATGACTTGTTGATACGTAATTTCAACCTGGCTACCGCTGACGTACAATGCTTACACAAAATATCCTCGATGGTAAACAGATCATGAGGTAGAATCCGCTTGCCGTCCAGGTTTTAGAAGTTTACTTCCTCTTGAAACGCAAACGTAAGTTTGTGACAAAAAGTATTCAATGAAGCTTAGGTTGTTACAAAGCTTAATCAACGAATTTCCTCGTCTTCTAGATTCGGTTCAAAATTACAAGGCTACGGAGTTGAACGTGATAATTGTAAACTCATAATTGGGTTGACTCTTGTGGTTATAAAATACCAATAAAAATATACTTCCACGAATAAAGTTGAGTTTCCTTCTTTAGAAAACGTGAATTCACGAACTGAGCTAAGAGAGAATAAATTTAGCTATTATATATAGCATGTTGCGGACAATAATATAATGATTTTTGAATTAAGGGTTAAATTATAATTCAATTAAAAAACATATAAATTTGAAATTAAATCATCTACGCATGCGATGTGGTTGATTTGGAAAGTTCAATAAAGCAGTCCATTAAAGCGGATCACATTTGCGCTTATTTTTATTGAATATAAAATCCATTATTTTCCGATCTTGGAGAACAAGTAATTCCGAAAGTTTTTGAAAAAAGGTTCGAATTACATTCGAATTCCTCTAAAATTATTCCCATGGCAGACGATAGGCATCTATTCCATCTTCTTTTTTCATAAAAATAGCTGCAGAAGATGCGATTTTGGCATAAAAAGAAACGGGAGAGGAGCCAAATCTTGCAGCAATTAATAACAACATTCGAAGGTAGATTCCTTCCGATAATCTTCCAAATGGAAAGGATAAATGTAATTACCGAAAGCCAGTTCCCAACCTTTTCCCCTTTTGCTCCAAAGATAGAACAAATCGGGAATCTAACCCCTTCCTCTCTTTAACAGGCACCAAATCAAAATAAATGCAGACGAATTATTTTCTTCCATGAAGGGTAGAGACCCTTCCTAATTCTATTGTAATTTGTAAAATCAAGGCAGCAAGCACCCCCTACAGCGTTCATTTTCTAAAGTAACTCTTCGTAACGAAAGATCGTCCGTCTTTTGCGAGCAGCCCTTGCTATTTGCTCCTGTGTATTGCACCTTCATTGGTAATTGTTACAGCTATTTACTCAGTTTATATATATTGCGCCTCAAGATTTATGCCTGAGAATAATGAAGGTGTGGGGACCCCCGATCTATAGATGGAGTAAACTCCGGGATAGATAGTTTTGGTATTAAGAAAACGCCAAATGCGTGCGGAGGTAATTCTGGGAGTAATCTCTCAGTATCTCCTTTTTCTCTCGACTCCAAAAGTAACGTCTCATTTGGCTTATGCATTCTGCGATTGGAAGAGGAAATAAATTACGATTAGAAGAATAATATCGCGCCCGTTTAAAGCCTTCGAGAAATAAAAGCTCTGATAGAGACAAATGTCTTCGTTTACATTGGAAAGGTTACGCCAAATTTATAGACATTAATCAATTGAGTGTATCTAAAGAGTGGGTAGGTTTCCAAATTTTACAATTCTAAACACCACTATGCCTATTAAACTGAAATCGCAGGCTCGTGAACGAAAATCACCAATATAAGGGTTGAAGAAATGTTTCGCCGGAACGCATTTCGTTTGAAGCAGGAAAAAACAAGATTCATACGTTCTATTTTCATATTACAAACAAGCACATTAGGCATAAAATTGTAACTTAAATAGAATAATTTATCGAACATTGAAATATATTTATTTTATAGCTATTAATTGTTTTAGTTTATATTGAACAAATGAAAGAAGTTAATACAAAACGGGAAATAGTTTATTAAATAAGTTACAATTTATTGGTTGTCCAAGGAAGAAAATCTAGTTTTTTATTGATAAATAAAATAATAAAATTCGTTTTTTATTTCTTTTAAAATTAACACTAGAAAGACGGATGGGGTATCAATTTGCCTCCCCCCCCTTTATTTTTGCTCCGTAATTTTAAAAGTAACTTACTGAAAGTGTTGACTTTTCATAATTAGATCCAATATAAGTGCTCATTTAATCATACATGTGTTAGCCTTATAGAAACATATCTATAGAACCCTATATCTAGAATGACGACAGGTATTTTGGAAGCTATCCCATTATCCTACGTTCAATCCTTTGGTAGAGATAAGGTACCCCAGTTTAATTAAAAATTATTTATTATTGTTACATTAAAAATTATTTATTATTGTTACACTAAAAATTATTTATTATTGTTAAATTAAAAATTATTTATGATTTTAACAAACTATTATTTATAGAGAAAATGAAACTCAATTATGTAAGAAACTAATGTATACGTATGATCAAAAACATCGTGTTCGATTTAATCAGATATTTATGTTAAACAAATCGAATTAAAAAAAACACAGAATTTTGATGATCAGGCCCAAACAATAATTTCTCACATTTGGGCTTAATTGCACTTACTTAGATCTAAAAGAAAAATTTATTCATTTTTGAAATTTCTTAAATTTACAAAATCAATTTTGGATAAATAACTTTTTTTTTTTTTTTTGGATTATATATTTTTGTAAAAAAATAATTACGATAATCCAAAGAATTTCTTCTGAAACTATTCGACGGTTTTTTAGAATTAAAAAATACCAAAATATAATTTTCTTGTTATTAGATCACTAGTAAAAAAATATTAAAACGGGACACCGGTCTCTCACCTGCGTAAAAATGGTTAAAGATCATTTTTTTTGTAAGGAAACAAATTGTGTTTCATTTGAAGTTTAAAAACTAAAATTATTTCCTTGCCAATCTAATACTTGCAATGCCAAAAAAGGCAATGTTTTTCCGTAGAGAAATTTTAAAAAAAACTCAACTAAATATTTAAAAGCATTTTGTATTATTAGAGCCTCGATTTCAAATATTTTAATATATTTCAATCTATATAACAACCGCAAAAGAAACATTGATTAATTAACACTAAAAAAATTATAATAATAATCAATAACAATCTAGAATTGTATTATTGATAATCATCTGAGTAATAAATAGATTACATAAATGGAAAATAAAATTGTAAAGAAATAGCTATCAAATTTCTAAAATAAAAATTTAAAAAAAATAAAAATATGGTTTCAGATGAAGTTAAGTATTCAGATTAAATTAAGATTAAGCTATTTTATGGCAAAAAATCAAAAAATGTTTTGAAAATATCGATAAATTGGTATAAAATATTAGAGTATTGTTTTAAAATCATTATTCTTTCATACATGACTTAAAGTTTATACTTATGCTTGAAACTAAAACAATGAATTTGGAGGAGGGAGAGAGGGAGGAGAATAAATTCTTTGCATGGAAAAACATAAAATAAGTGTTTTTATGCCATTCTAAAGAATTTCCGACTTGAAAAAAATAAGGCAGTAAACTATATATTTTTTGATTTGTTAAAATAACTTTTACAGCTCAATCATGCTTTTGACCTTAGCCAAACTTGGAAATAAGCCCTAAAAAAGAGCAAATTAATAGTTTTATAGAAACTAAATGAAATTGCAAAAACGATTTCCTTTTGCAATAGCAAATACTTATATACAACTAAAAATATTATTTCAAAAATTTGAATCGTTTCGTTTAATGTTGCATTTCAAAGAAAAAATACATGGGTAAAATATGTAAACTTTTAGCTTAATTACAGAAAGATTTAATTATACTGAGTAATAAGCGATTATTTAATTCAATCATAAAATAACAAGTTTAAAATAAAGTTTTTAAATATTAATTGTAAATAATGACACAACATTAAGGTTTTTTTTTCTTTCATTTTTTGTTCTACATTTCCAAATAATGAAAAAGATAGCACATTAAAAAGTTAGTTAGAAACTCGATTAAATTGATGACAAAAATAATAATAAAAAAAATTTCTATTGGTTTTAAAAGTTTACTAGCAACTTTACATTGATGCTGAATATTAATTCTAAAAATATGTACAAAAATAGCAGATTTGTTCTTAAATGTTGAGCTAGCCCCTGAACTATATTGGTGCGAAATATTAATTCGATAAATTACTATACAATTAATGCACATATCATTTGAAATAATAAAGTACCCAATGTATTTTATGTTATTTTATTTTATTTGTTTATTTTGTTTTTTAAAAACAGTTATTGGCCGTATTAGCACCAAATATTAATAGAACATAGTTCTTTTAACAATACAATCTTTAACTGTAATAATGAGTCACGTTATATTGTTTTTTCCTGCATTTTGTTTAGTTTTCTTATTATTATGCCAGGAAAATGCAAAAATACAAAAATAAAAATGCTGGAATTTTTAACATAAAATTAAGCAATTCTGAAAAAGTATCAAAAAAACTTTTTGTTTAAAAATAAAATTTTTTAATACTGCAAATATAAACCCATGCAACTTCAACAAAGCAAGAAATCTATTTTTATTTCATTATTGATTTTCTCAAATCCATTATGATACTAGAAAACCAAAATCTCGTTCGAAAACTATGTGCTCAATTAATTAGAAAAACTGAACTCGAGATGACATGCAGAGAAAGATTACATTAAATAGAAAAGCGCTCATCTCGGCTTTCGATCCAGAACACTGCTTGAATTATCGTTCGAAATCACTTTCCTCTTTTTTTAAAGAACAAAAAATAATAAGTCGGAAATTAACTCCTGTTTCCAAATCCACATCCGGAAATCGAGATGGATGTTGAGTTCCATCATGTTATAAATCATCGCACTA